AAAAAAAAAAAAAAAGGCAGACTCATACATTGCTGGTAGGACTGCAAACTGGTGCAACCAATCTGAAAAGCAGTATGGAGATTCCTTAGAAAACTTGGAATGAAACCACCATTTGACCGAGCTATCCCACTCTTTAGTCTATACCCAAAGGACTTAAATCAGCATACTATAGTAATGCGGCCACATCAATGCTTACAGCAGCTCAATTCACAATAGCTAAACTATGGAACCAACCTAGATGCCCTTCAACAGATGAATGGATAAAGAAAATGTGGTACACATACACAACAGAATATTACTCCGCCTTAAAAAAATGAAATTATAGCATTTGCAAGTAAATGGATGGAACTAGAAAATACCATGCTAAGTGAAACAAGTCAAACCCCCCGAAACAAAAGCTTAATGTTTTCTGAAAAGCAGATGCTGATCCATAGTGGGGTGGGGCAGGGCAGGGTGGGGGGTGAGGGGGTAGAGAAGAATGATTGAACTTTGGTTTGTGTAGAGGTGAGTGAGGGGAGGAACGGGGCTATGGGGATGGGAAGGACGGTAGAAAGAGAGACATTATTACCCTATATACAGGTATGATTACACTACTGGAGTGACTCTGCACCAAGTATAGCCAGTGGAATGAGAAGTTGTGTTCCATTTGTGTACAATATGTCAAAATGCATTCTATTGTCATGTATAACTAATTAGAATTTTAAAAAAAGTAAAACCAAACAAACAAAAACAGCAAAACAACTAACCAGAGTAGCCCTGGCTAGGAAAGGGAAACCAGAAATTTAAATTTATAGATATAGGTGTTCATCAAGCAAAAAAATTGTTTCCAGCAAGGTGCAACAGCACATGCCTATAATCCCAGCTACTCAGGAGGCCGAGTCAGGATCATTACAAAGTCAGCCTGAGCAACCTAGCAAGATCCTGCCTCAAAATAAAGGGGGGGTGGTGGTGGCTGGGATTGTGGCTTAGTGGCAAAGTGCTTGCCTTATATGTATGAGGCACTGGGTTTCATTCTCGGCACCACATGAAAATAAATAAAATGAAGGTATTAAAAAAAAAAAGACAGGGCTGTAGGTGCAGCTCACTAGTAGTGTATACCTGGTAGAAAGTGGAGTGGGTGAAAAAACACCCAGATAAAACAAAACCACTACCTGGCTTACAGTTTACTCAAGATGGTGCAAGAGTTAGAAATTAAACCTAAGCCTTTTGGGGGTTTTACTTTATTTTATTGGTACCAGGATTGAATTCAGGGGCACTTGACTACTGAGCCACATCCTCAGCCCTATTTCGTATTAAAGATAGGGTCTAACTGGGTTGCTTAGCACCTCATTTTTGCTGAGGCTAGTTTGACCCTTCTCTCTCAGCCTCCAGCTGCTGGGATTACAGGTGGTACAGTGGCGCACAGCTTATTTTGTTTTTGAAACTGGTTCTCACTGCTCTCCCATAAGCCTCTCAAGTATCTGGAATTAAGGTATTCACTACCTTTCTGTTGAATTTTAATGTTTGAGGAATACTATAAGCACTGCTACTAGTTCAGTTTCAAGACTCCAAGTGGTCTCTCTCTTTTTTTTGGGGGGGGGGGGGTAGGTGGGTTCTGGGGATTAAACCCAGGGCCTCTGCATGCTAGGCAAGTGCCTAACAACTAAGTCAACATCCCTACCCCTTTTTAAAATTAGTGATAGGATCTCACTAATTTGCCCAGGCTGGCTTCAATTTGAAATCATCTCCCTGTCTACGGTCATGTGCCACTGTATCCAGCTCTTTTACTCATCTTACTCAGCCTAAGCCCTGCTATGGTAATGTCAGACCATTATTAGCATCACTGATCTCCTCCCTTGGCCTGTCCCATGTGCCAAAGTTCTTGATTTCTGGTGACTATGATCATACTCAATATCCAACATAGTGACATGAAAGTAATATCTTGTGCACACTCACACACTGAAATATAAGCTATTGTGAATTCACAGAGAAAACCTTACTTACCCCCAGGTCACGTAAGGTTCTACTATCCGTAGCATTTTTAGGCTTTTGGGGGTGACTTTAACAAAGACACCACTAAATATTTTCTTCAGACGAAGTCTTGCAATGGTCCTCTGCACYAGTAAACTCACHCCATCAATCCTTTGGATKCGTACAACAAAGGCCAAGGAATGTTTATCAGGTACTTCCAAAGCATGAGGTTTYACTTCTAGTCGTCTGATGCGCACGTGGTCACGTTTCTGCCGCCAGGAATCATGTAGGAATGATTCCAGTCGCTTAAATCTGAATTCTTTTCCTTTTCTCTGTTACAGAGAAGACAGACCATCATCACCACTCTGTGCCTATACTCATCTTTAATTCCAAAACAGTAATTCATGAGTTTCATATTCTTCAAAGGAAAGCAAGTAAGCATATTTCTATCTTTTTTAAACAGGGTATTGCTATGCTGCTCAGGCCAGCCTCAAACTTGTGATCTTCCTGCCTGAGTCTCCCAATTGAATGGGATTTCAGGCATATGCCACCACACCTAGCTGACTCTGTTATACAACGGAAAAATGAAAAACCCAAGTACAGGGAGTTGAGAAAATTCTAGAATTACTGGGAGAAGTTCTTTTCTTTTTTTGGCACTGGGATTTCACTGGGATAAAGTGACATCCCCCAGCCTTTTAAATTTTTTACTTGAGACTGGGTCTTGCTAAGTTGCTGAGGCTGATTCTTAAAATTGAGATCCTCTTGCCTCAGGTTCCTGAATTGACAGGATGACAGAGATGCTCCACAGCACCTGGCTATTTAGAGAATTTCTGATACACAAACAAAAAATTAGTTTACATGCTGTTAACCAATGTTTACCAAATTTATGTTAGGTACAAACTGAGCATTTGTTTCCTTGTCTCCAAAATACACGTATATTCAGAGACATTTAGTGGATGGGCATGGTGGTACATGCCTCTAATCCCAGCTGAAGCAGGAAGATCCCAAGTTCAAGTCCAGCCTCAGCAACTTACCAAGACCCTGTCTCAAAATAAAAATAAAGGGCTGAGGATATAGCTTAGTTGGTTAGAATGCTTGCCTCACATGCACAAGGCCCTGGGTTCAATTCCCAACACCACCAAAAAAAAAAAAAAAAAAAAAGGTGGGGTTAAATACTCCTGGTTTTTGCTTTGGTATCAAAAACAAACAAACAAACAAAAAACACCGCACATTTAGTAAACAACCAAACCTGTTGTATACACTTTTTGCCAGGTTTGTTCTCTAAAATAAAATCATTCAAAATGAATCTAGGGGCTGGGGATGTGGCTCAAGCGGTAGCTCGCTCGCCTAGCATGCGTGCGGCCCGGGTTCGATCCCCAGCACCACATACAAAAAACGAAGATGTTGTGTCCGCCGAGAACTAAGAAAAATAAATAAATGTTAAAATTAAAAAAAAAAAAAAAAAAAATGAATCTAGAAGGAGCACTTTCCACTTCACACTTCACTTTTTTCTTAAGCTCCATTCCAGATTTTTGCTTGCACAGGTGTTGGATAAATCTTTGCTAAGTGAAGACACAAACCAGATACCTTGTATATTAAAAAACTGGGAGGTGGGGGGAGCTGGGGTTGTGGCTCAGAGTGCCTACCTAGCACTTGCAAGCCATTGGGTTCCATCCTCAGCACCACATACAAATACATACAAGTATTGTATCCAACTACAACTAAAAAAACCCCCAAACCACAAAAACATTAAAAACAAAACTGGGAGAGGGGCTTGACAATACCAAATCTAGTTCAACATATGCTGAGTAAAATTCACGCAATACAAATTCTAACACAGTCCTCCTGGTCCACCAATATTACCTCCTTCTTTGCCAAAAGTGCCTGCTTTGCTTGGGTAGCTTTGAGGGCCTGATAAGCCTTCCTCTTTTTCAGGAGATTTTCTGGAACCAAAGGGATCTTTTTTCTTTGCCTAATAGAGAAAATTGATCAGTGGTAATAACATTTAGGAAATGAAAGTTCAATGGGTTTCCAAACCACTCTACAAACTCCTGGGAACACTGCTGCCTTCAAACTTCTGAGCACCGAGTTTCTCCTAAAACCGATGGTTTCTGACTAATTTTCAAAATGAAGTCCTAACATTCACTCGTATCCAAAGCCTTAAAATCTCAAGAACCTCTTGGTTCCTGGTTCGATTACAACAGAACTTTTACTACCATAGGCTTTCGTCAACTCACAACGATGAGATCCTAGAAAGAACCCGTGGGGTTGGGGCGAGTGGGAGTCTACTTACAGGGAAAATAATGAAAGTCATGCTGGGTGAACTCAACTCTGGCACTCTTCAGCTGCTGTCCCCTTCATACCTGTGTTTCCTAACCGCCTGCCTGAAAGTCAATCCTCGCTGTTCTAGGTAACCAGAACTAACCGCGGCCCCCTCCGCAAGCCCCAGCCCTACAGGACCTCACTCCTACTCCCTGTAATCTGAAGCCTTTTGTTTTCTCTTCCTACAGTCCACACGTGCCTTCCTTCCTAACAGCACAGCATAAACACCGTGGATGGCATCGGATATTCAAGTTCCCTCTCCCCTCGAAAAACTCAAAGACGCAAACACTTACTCTTCCTCCGCCATCTTTCCAGTGCTGCAATTACAGCTCGTGTGCACGTCCGCCCGGCGGGGAAGAGAGGACCCACTCTATGTTTAATTGATCATAGAGACGTCTCTTCTAGCTCACGCTGGAGGACTCGGGCAGCCAAAGCCCACTTTAGCAGCCCGAATGGAGATTTGCTAACCCTGGTTACTGCCAGAAGCTGCACAAAGCCTCCTGGTTCCCCAGCATTACCATTTCTTTCCCCAAAGTGCCTGCTTTGTCTGGGTAGCTTTGAGGGTATGATAAACTTCCTTTTTTAGGAATTAATTTTTCTAGAACCAAAGGGATGGAGATTATATATATATATAATTTTCTTCTGGATACAGAAAATTGAGGTCAGCGAGAATAACATTTAGGAGACGAATGTTCAACAAATTTCTAAACTAATTAAAAACTTGGGCTTCGGGGAACACTGCTGCCTCAAACTCTTGCATTAAGTTTTTGACTCCAGTCTTCAAAATGTATCCCTAATATTCGCTCGTATCCAAACCCTTAAAAACCCCGTGATGCCTGGGTGCGAACTCAAGCTTTTTACGGTCTATGACATTTCCAACGTCGACTCATTCTCCTTTAAGCTACGTTCTCCTGGCTCCCGGTAACTTCGCGGTGAATTATAAGGCGCTTCCCACAATGCACTCGGCTTCCGCTGTGGCGCCGTCGCCGCCCTTCCGGCTTGCGCCGTGCAGCGGCGTCTTTGTGGGTCTGCGTGGCTCTGCGAAGGAAGTTTGGGGTGGTGTTTTTCCTCCGCAGAGAGCTGTTGGGCTGGCTTTGGCTCTTACGTATGGGTGGAGGTGTTTGTGGACTATGTAGGGTGTTAAAGAAGGTAGCTCCCATCAGCTCGGTTCCACAGTGACTTCCTAAGCCAGTTATTTAACCCCTTTGTACTTCGGTTTCCTTATTCATGAGGTGAGGACCCTCCCTGGATCCTGGGCTGGCCGGATTCGTGCTCCTGCCCGCATAAGAAATAGGCAAACGAGGGAAAAAGGAAAAATGCGCTAGGGTGGTAACACTGATAGCCTGTGAGGGTTATGGCATTCGATGACGTGTTGATAGCACAATGCCTAAGAGTAAGCAGTGAACATTATGTTAATTATTACTGTAAGTACCCGAACTAGAAATGCCTCCTTGCCACCTCATCCTTCCCTTATGTATCTCTCACCGCCTGGAATATGCTCTCATCTTTCCTTGACTACATAAAATCCTGAAAAGTAACTCAAGTCGATTCATCTCTGGAGACCATCAAATCCCTTCTCAAACATTCATTTGTGTGAGAGTCACTTGAGCATCTTGTTAAAATGCCGATTTTTATTCAGGAGGCCGCTGAGGTAGATCAATATTTTTCATTTTTAATAAGTTCTACAGATCGGTGCTGCTGGTCTATGGGCTACACTTGACCTAGCAAGGCTCTCGAGTTCTCTTTTCTTTCTCTAAGTTTCTTTTAGAGTGTAAAAGGATAGTCCCAGCTTGGCTCCATGACTCACGCCTGTAGTCTGAGCTGCTGGGACTGTCGCTTGCGTCCAGAAATTCCAAACCAACTTAGGCAACATAGTGAAACCCTGTCTCAAAAAATGAGGCAAGCAAAAAACCAGAGAGTGGCCCAAGTTGGGTTTTATATGTTTTGGTTGTAGGTGTATTTATTCCCTCACCACGTGATTCTAAGGGTCCAACCAGTTTTCTCAATCTTTTTTTTTTTTTTCCTTTATTTTTTGTGGTGCTGGGGATTGAACCCAAGGCCTTGTGCACGTGAGGCAAGCACTCAGCCAATTGAGCTATATTCCCCAGTCCCCAGTTTCTCAATCTTGGCACCTTCAACATTTTGAACCAGAGGCGGCTCAGTGGTTCAGCGCCCCGGGTTCAGTCTCTAGTACTGATAAATAAATCGGGGGACATATTTCAGTGGTAGAGCACATCTGGGTTCAGTCTTCATATCGTGCCCCACACACATAAAGATATCACCACAGACTTTATCCTGTACCTTGGCTTATTATTTCTCTAACTAGGTTGAGTACTCTTTGAGAGTTGGGGATTTGATCATACTTTATTTTCTACAACACCTATTACAATGAGTTTCTGCAGGGACATGTTCAATGAGTGGTTGATTTAGAAATGCAAGACATATTAGTGAGTACTAAGTAAGTCCACCAGAAAGAACAGTGCCATGAACTGAGCTGCTCACTACTTAACCAATAAATAAATGTAAAAGGACAACACAATGTTCAGAATCACTAGCCTGAAGGTCATTCTCACTCAGCATTTTGCCATGTGTCTTACTTTATAAAGAGGCAAAACAGAAGGGTCACCAAAGTGTAAGACATCCATTAAATAGTAAATAAGTGACAAAGATAAATCAATATTTTGTAACCTCCCTTGTGTATGGATAAATGGTAGATTCTGTGATAACTGACAGGAGTGTTATGAACTGAAGGAGTGTTATGAATGGAATTGAGTCAGGATTCAGGAAGTAGCTTACCCCTGCCAGTAGATGGTGCTAGGAGAAAGTGCAAAGCCATCATTGTACCGGATTGACCCAGAGGAAAAGTCATTCACTAACTGCATTTGTGTTTATTGAGCATTTATTAGCACTGGGGAGATAGAAGGTTTTTCCCCTCAAGAAGTTGTTGTTTTTTTTTTTTTTTTAAAGAGAGAGTGGGGGGAGAGAGAGAGAGAGAGAGAATTTTTAATATTTATGTTTTAGTTCTCGGCAGACACAACATCTTTGTTGGTATGTGATGCTGAGGATCGAACCCAGATCGCACGCATGCCAGGCAAGCGCGCTACCGCTTGAGCCACATCCCCAGCCCTCCTCTCAAGAAGTTAATGAATGAATGTAGCATGGATTCCCATTGCCTTAAGCACCTTACTCTTGGGGCTGGGATGTAGCTCCGTGGGACAGCACTCCTGTAATGTGTGCAAGGCCCTGAGTTAGAGCCCCAGCACCACAAAAGAAAAAATAAAATAAAGTCTTAACTCTTTTTAGCCTATCCTCATAGGCTTTGTTCTCTTCTAGCTACTTCAGTTGTTCATTCTTAGAGAATGGCTAAATAAATTGTGGTAGATGATGTAGTTTTATGCAGTGAGGTAGTTGTTTTTTACCCTTTTGGCTTGCCAACATCCATTCTCATTTCCAACAGTATCCCATTCCTTTTGTGAAATGGTCTCTCTCTCTTATTGCGTACAATCTTCGCAGTGGTGGGGGATATCAAATCCAAATGTTTGTCTTCCCAATACTTAAGTTTTAGAGGGTCAGTGCAAGATTTTTAAAACTTTTTCACTTTCCCAGAGGAATGGGGTATGAGACTTCTCTGGGATTTTGAATCTTTTTTTAAACATTTTTTATTTTTTGGAAGTAGTTGGAAACAATACCTTTATTTTATTTATTTTTATGTGGTGCTGAGGATTCAAACCCAAGGTCTCACATGTGCTAGACGAGTGCTCTACCACTGAGCCACAAATCCCAGCCTCAGATTTTGAATCTTGAGCAAAGTGATTATAGAAGAAAGTAGGAGGTTCTGGGAAAGACTTTTTAAGGATTTCCACCTACCAGGACCTTTTGGTGTTTCTTCCATCTTCTTTTCAATCCTTATCCTCCCTATAAAATCCCTTATGCTAGTCACCAAAATTGGTTTCTGTTGCTTACAGCCAAAGAAACCTGACTATAATAGTCCCAGATAATTGGTTATAAAAATTGAGATACAGAATAGGGTAGAACAGAATCTTTCCAGGTTTTTTTTTTTTGTTGTTTGTTTATATTTGTATGTAACACTTTTAGAACAATATACACTGGTGCCAATAGAATTTATTTGTTATTTGGGGAAGTGGGAATTGAATCTAGAATGGAGGGGAAGCCATGTTTTTGTTGTATGCTTTTTGTTTATCACATATGAATGACAAAGCTTGTTGAGTAATTATATTCTTCAGATTTAGAAATCACTTGGCTATGTTTTTGTTTATTTTCTGCAGTACTTGGGTGGAACTCAGGGCTTCATGTATGTTAGACAAGCCTTCTACCACTAAGCCTCACTCCCAGTCCTTTTTAAAAAACATTTGTTGTTGTTGTAGATCGATGAAAAACTTTTATTTTTTAATGTGGTACTGCTAAAGATTGAACCCAGTGCCTCACACATGTTAGGCAAGCACTCTGCCACTGAGCTAGAGCACCAGCCCGCACGCCCAGCCCTTTTTGAAAAAAAAAAAAATTTTTTTTTTTTTTTGAGAAATTGCTAAATTGCCCAGGCTGACCTTGACTTGGGATTTTCCTGCTTTAGCCTCCAGAATAGCTGGGATTACAGGTGCACCTACCATACCCAGTGACGATGTTTTTAGACTCCCCCCCCCCCTTGTACTGGGAATTGAACCCAGAGGTGCTTTACTGAGCTACATCCCCAATCTTTTTTATTTTTATTTTGAGACAGGGTCTCATTAACTTGCTGAGACTGGCCTCAAAACTCGCAATCCTTCTGCCTTAGCCTTCCCAGTTGCTGGAATTATAGGCATGTACCACCACACCCAGTGTTTTTACTCTTTAGGTCCAGTATTTTGTGGTTATTTAACTCCAGGGATTCGTTTCCTAATATCTCTGAGTAAATTATTTCAGTATTGCTGCATTTCTGGATTATTTGGAATCCTTTTTTTTTTTTTTTTTTTAACTTGAGATAGTTAAGCAATGCCTTCTCAAACAGGCAAAACTGCCACCCCTGACATACCCTAAATGGGGAGCCATCTGCAGGTTCCTTTCTGCCCCAATGTCCTTTCTTGGATTATAACTCTCCTTGCGGTCTTTTAGTTTTTGATACTGGGAATTCAACTCAGAGGCACTTAACCACTGAGACTCATCCCCAGTCCTTTTTATTTTTTTACTTTGCGACAGGTTTTTTGCTAAGTTGAATAGGGCCTCCCCAAGTTGTTGAGGGTGGCCTTTAAAGTGCAGTCCTCCTGCCTCAGGGAGCAGCTCGGGGCATCTGCAGAGAGTGGCAAGGGGTTATTAGACAGAAGGAAGGAGAGATGAACAGATAAACCTGGAGTTGGGGAAGACAACATGAACAACACCTTTTGATCCTGATGAAAAACAAGCTTAAGTGGAAAGAAAAGGGAGATAAGAGGTGAGGGCAGCAGTCTTTTGAGGGTTGAAGATAGATAAAGAAAATGAGCTTAAGAAATAGTGCATATCAGGAAGGAACAAAAGCCATACAGAAAACACCAAACCTTTTCTGAATTATTTCAGGGACAATGGAATGTTATTTCTTACCCATAAGTAGAGGGCCAGGATGAGTCTTCTTACTTTACGAGCAAAGAAACTTAGATTTAAGAGTAACTTATAGAAAGGTGTATTTGATTATGTGTTAGATGATGTACTGGAACCCATTCCTGCTGCACTTCCTGTCCCTTGAGTTGCACTGCTTTTCTCTGACCTTGAAAAGAAGTGATTTTTCCCCCAAGGATCTTGAACCTTCACAAGTGTTTTCAAAGGCCACGCCACACCAGCACATGCTCCAGAGGAATGCAGATCAGTGTTTCTCATAAAGATCTTTCACCTGCAGCAATGTGGACAGGCTATTTATATTTACACAATTCAGTGTGTGTGTGTGTGTGTGTGTGTGTGTGTGTGTGTGTGTGTGTGTATGCACACGCAGGCAAGCACCATGCTAGAAATGGAACCCAGGGCCTCCTGCATGCTAGGCAAGAAAAATCCACTTCATAATCTGAATGTGCTCCTACTAATTGTATGTATGCTGAATCAGATTTCTGCATATTTAACATTATAATGACAAAAATCCATTCTTTTCATTCCTGAAAAAGTATCATAGTTTTTTATCAGACATAACTCTGAAGAGCCTGGGCATGGAAATAGATGGCAGCTCTCTACCAAGTTCAGAAGGAGTTTCAACATCCCATTTTCCTCTCTCCTGGACTCTAGGCAGTTCTCAAAAGTAACTTGTGTATTTGTTCTTCCCTATCAAGACTAGGGTTTCTTCTTCTTCTTTTTTTAATGTTTATTTATTTATTTTTTAGTTGTAGTTGGTCACACTATCTTTATTTCACTTATTTTTATGTGGTTCTGAGGATTGAACCCAGGGCCTCAAATGTGCTAGGTGAGCGTTCTACCACTGAGCCACAATCCCAGACCGTAGACTATGGGTTCTTAACCACTGAACCATATCCCCAGCCCTTTTTATTTTTTGAGACAGGGTCTTGCAAAGTTGCTTAGGACCTTAAGTTGCTTGTGGTCCTCCTGCCTCAGCTTCCAGGGCCTCTGTCTGGGATTACAGGTGTGTACCACCATGCCTGACAACACTGTGGGCTCCTTGAGAGAAGAAATCACTCCTGTATTGTCCATCTATCCCAAAGTCTAGCACAGTGCTTGTCACACAGTCAACTCCTCAGGAACGATTTGGTAGTCTAGTCAATGCTGGATTCCAAGAGGTCTTCTCTATGCTGAAGAGGACACATGAGGCTGAGTCAAGCCAGACCATACAGCCCAGGTCCTAGCCTCTTGGAGATAGCACAACTAGAACTTAGTCTGAGCAATGCTGTTTCAGTGCCCCCAGCAATGGGGGTTTCTTTCTTTTCCCTTACATTTCCCCCAATAACCCACAGACTGCTTTTTCTGTGTCAGCTAGGCCCCCTTTCCTGGAACATGACCTCCTATACACAGGGCTGAGGGTTTTCATTGTTCTAAGAGAAGATGTCTGGTCTTTCCTCTGTGCATGCCCTGTGGGGAATGCAGAGATCCTGATTCTAACCCGGCAGCCAGGTAGTCCTTCCTTCTAACTCCATTTCTCGGGCATTTCCATTGCAAGTGGCCTGAACAGGGCAAGAAGTCCTGCTGGACAGAYATTTATCCTTTGCAAGAAGAAAAGTGTGATCTCAGGGCAACACTGCAAATGACATCAAAGGATCCATTCATCCACTGATATAATTATTTTAACTTCTATCAGTATTATGAGAATGACATCTAGTTTACATTAATTACTACAGAATCTTGATTTTTCAACAACTATTAGGGTAAGGGGAAGCAGTTACACCATAAAGGAGTGCAAGTATAAATTCTGGATCTCAAAGAAAAAATTTCCTTCCTGAAACACATTTTACCCTCTGGAAGTTTCCCCAATAAACACTTTGTATTGAGTCACACTTGTGAAGGTAGGAAGTCACAAATGGATCTCTTGGGGCTGAGTTTACAGATGTGGTTACAGAGGTATTTCTCTATACATCCTGGTCAAATATGGGAATCCAAAGAGAAACATTAATTCTGGAATAAGTCTACATAAAATATTTTTCTTTATCTTTTAGCTTTCTTGTTGTCTTTGTAGAAACAAAGATTGAAGAAAACTTCCTGCAGAATATGATTCACTTATGTAACTTTTCAAATGACCCCCATTTTCCCTTTCTTACTAAGGACCCAAATGACGGGACTAGGGATGGAGGCCTCATACATTTGTGACTAAAATTCCTCACTGACCAACTTTGTTTCTTTCATTTGTCACTGTTTGGAAAGGCCAATCAACTCAAATCCTGTCTCCTCAGCTGGTTAGATTACTTTTTTGGGAATGGTAATATTGAAATAGAACTCCCACTGAATACTTACCCTTTTTTGGGTGGAAAGCAGCCTTTCCTCTTTGCAAAATCAAGACAATCACAGTTGCACATTTTCCCAAATCTTTGGCTGTATTGCAATGGTTGTTTCATTTTGTAATCTCCAACTAAACATTTCCTAACCATGGATTAACAATATAGTTACTGACTGGTTTCTTTTAACAGTATTTATCCAACATAACAAAATAAACTGCAATTTGTTATACTTTTTTTTTACAAAACATTTTATAAATATTTTTACAAAATGTATACAAAGCAATTTCAAGTGAGACATACTATACAAATGAAGGTATTTAAGCAAATAAAGCCACACCACACTGACAGCGAGTGACGCGTCCTCTTTAGGTCAAGTCAGTCTGTAAGGCCTCCCTAATCTAACAGAGTCTACTAAATTCTTCAGAGCTAAAATAGTTCTTTTTCGTAATTGCCAGTTTAAAATTTGCTTTATCTTTAGGCAGTACTTAAGGACACAGAAAATCAAATGCGTAATAACAAATTCACACTTTTTTTTTCACAACAACAAACAGAAAAAAAAAGAAAAGAAAAGAAAATGATTTTTGTTACTGAGTACAAGTAGTTCTAAAACTTAACTTTGACTAATGAACCTGAACAACTGAATGTTGGCGTCCAAGGCTGAGCTCTCTTATCCTTCGCCAGAGGGGCTCGACATGCGAGTCATGACCCATGTGCACGTAACCTAATCACAGGAGTAAAATACATTTTGTAATCTTCATTTGTCATTATCTAAAATCTTTCCTCCATAAAAAGTAAACTTACATACAAGGACACAAAAATTTACAAGTTTCATTTTGGTAAGTTAGGCTCTCCATTTGCTGACAAGTGTTAGGGCTTAAAAACCCTTGAAGATGGCATATAGAAAAGCTTGAAGTGGGGTAGGAGGGCAGGAGAGGGCAGAAAGAGAGGTGACGAATGTACATGAAGCTTATCTCTTAAGAATTCCACTGATTCGCAGTAATTAATGTAATTCATTAGCAGCCCACATGAAGGCTTCCAGGTATAAAGTTCCACAATGAGAAGAATTTGATCAGGAGGGACCATCTTGAATTAGGGGAGTGTGAGCCCTAACAGAAGAAGAGCCTGTGAAATCATGGGTTCAGGGTGGGCTGTTAACCCAGGGCTGCCCAAACAGAAAGGTCCAACTGGCAATACCAACTTATCTTTCTAACATGTTACAATACAGTAAGAAGGGGAAATCTGCAACTTGGACATTGGCACAAATAAGGAAAAAATGGAAACCCTAGATGGCCCACATTTTCCTATTTCAATTGGCCAGGGCTTGGGGGTAGGGAGAAGGTACTCTGCTCTTATGCAGACTGGGTATCTCATGGGATTTCTTTGTAAGGAGGGACAGAGGGGCAGGGAAGATATAGGTCTTCTGTTGCTGTGTACTGAATGATCAGAAGCCTTCTTTTCCATTGCAGGCCAATCTGGAAAAGAAATGCCCAACATGATGACAATGGGGATCATCCCCACTCTGAGAATATGTTAGAGTGGAGACCAATGGGTACATCTCTATGGACAAGGAGATGAGCAGAGTAAGAAAGCAAGTGTGCACACACTGAAACCAAAATGACCTTGGATCCCAACAGCTCAGACACATGTGCATGCCCTGTGAGAGAAGAATGCATATAACCTACCAGTGTGTAGCCTTCCCATTGGTGGTTACAATGACATGGAAAATGAAAGAAACAACAGAAATGGGATGATCTGGGACAGCTATACAAGAAAGGAAAATGGGGAATGCTCCCTGAAAAGAAATATAAATAAATAAAGCAATAAGTCGTGTTCACTGATATGAACACAGGCCAAACACAAACTATGACAGGGCATATCCTTTGGCTCTCAAGTGGGAATTCTGTATCTCAGCTCTTTCCTTTCAGTGATGGGCTGGCTGGTTACCTTTGGTTTGTCTGTGTTTTGGTAATGATTGCTGACAGGAGTGACTACTGTTCTCAGACAACAAGAAGCAGAAACAAGGCCAAAGTCCCCTTAAAGTATGAACTGAAAAATTGCAACTTAGTTTTCAAATGAAAGTGCTTTTGATGCTTGGCTATTTGTTGTGGGAGAGGGTACACAGAGAGGTTAAATAAAACCAAACCCAGCAACAAACAAAACATACATTGTATGTTGACTATACCCAATTATAAAATGCAAAACTCTTTTTTTTTCATAGTTAACATATATATGCTTTTACATATATACATATTATAATCCTCATGGCTCTATCCCGGCCTCCCCTGTACACTGTGCCACTTAACTGTTTTCCATTTTCCTTTATTCAGCCTGGTGAAATTATTTCAAGTCATGCTATTACAACTAAGAACAGAGCATTCCCTAGATGAAATTTGACATGGATATGCTGAAAAGCATGAGGTTTTGCTCCAGGAGCATTGGAAAAGCACTTGAATGATCAACAGGGAAGCCCTGCAAATGCCCTGCTTATGTGCTACTGACTTCTGACACCAGGGCTGTAGAGTCCTTGGCAGAGCAGTCAGCAACTTACTGCTCAGAGAGGGCTGAGCGGGGAGGAACGAGGTGGTCTTCCCCGAACAATACCCCCGCAAAACAAAAACAAAACAGAAAAAACACTAATTTGGAGCTGCAGTGAGATATTCTTTAAAAAGTAGCTTCTATCAGTCCTGTTTGATTTTCTTTAATAAGTCTGTTCTTTTCAAATGACTTATGATTGTCAAAACTTTACTCAGAGTCAAGTGTACTGTGGGCTCATGGAGAGACAGTGTTAAAAAAAATAAAACAAACAAAAAATGATCATCAGCACTTTCATAACACTTGAAATGTGTAGGGCCTACCAGACTGCTCTCTAACAAGGATGAATTTTACTAAAGGATCTCCCTGTAACCACGACAAGTATTGCTCTTAAACAAAGAACAGGACTGAGATTAAAAAGAATAACCTGTGATGAAAGACCAAGCAGGCTGGAGACAGGAGACCGTTTCCATTTGCTTTTGCCAGGAGAGAATGTAACTTGTCCGGGGCAAGGGCTGGGGGCTGGGGAGGGACTGCTGCTATTAACACTCTAGGATACTATTTACAGCTGCTTCTAAAATGGAGTCCGTTTCTACAACGCCTTCACTGTGGTCCGGGATAAATTTTTCTAGGCAGTTTTCCTGCGAAGCCATTGGAGAAAAGTTGGGGAAATCTAATTCAACAGAGCCGCTAACCGTGGGGTCACTCTGCGGTTGCCGCCCAGCCTTCTTGAGTTCCAATATGTTCTTAAATGTTGTTTCTAAACTCTTGGTGAGCTGGAGATCTTCCTGGGGTTCACCTGACCCTTTCATGATGTCTGTGTGTAAAACTTCATTCTTTGGAGAATTCCTCCGAGTTTTGTCCTGGAAGGAATCGTTACATGACATCTCCAAGTGGGAGTCTACTAGGATACCGGAGAGTTTGTTCTCAGTACCATGATCTGGTCTGGACAAGGTTTTTCGGTGGCCTTCAGGGCCAGGAGAGCACTCAGTGGTCTTCATGGGGTCTCTCCGGTTGCCTTTCTCTTCAGACGAGCTCCGATATTGAACTAAGCCCACTTTGTCAAATTTCAGGGCTCTGCCAAGGCATTCCGTTTTTTTAGAAATGTTTCCCTCTGCAGAGACCACGATGTGATTAGGCACTAGATGAAATTGGTCATGATTCGTTGGTTCGGTCACGCCTGGTTTGGCTCGGTCTCTGCTTTGGGCCTTGGCTGCCAGATGTAGAGAACTGGTTGTTTTACTGCCATGCTGGTCATTCCTGCCAAACTGTGTCTCATGAGCAGCTTTATCAAGTTTGAAGGAACAACAGAAATCGGCCTGAAACCCCTCTGGAAATGGGGATGGAAAGAACATTAATGAGTGAGTGGAAGATCAAGGACTAGGTAGCCAACTCCAGTGGTCAGGTGCTGAGGGCGACCCCCGACTGTACCACTCAGCCCCGCCCCACCCTGAGTCAGTGTTTCAGCACAATGTGGTACTGACAGGGCATCCTAAAAAGGTAACAAGGCTCTGAAGTCACAGATTCCACAAAGGAAGCCTAGCCTCTTTGAAAAGGCAGCTGCTTGAGACCAACAGGAAAATCTGATGGGCAGAAAGCTCCATTAGATCCAGATTTCTTGGTGGCATTATTATTATTATTTCAAAGATATATGCATAATTTAATAGGATTTGTTTGTTTGTTTTTGTGGTGCTGGGGATTGAACTCAGGGCCTCACACATGCCAGGCTAGTGCTTTAAACTGAGTTATGTTCCCCAGCCCTGTTGTTATCATCTTTTTACCATACTCGGGTATGGAGACCCAAGCCTGGTGTACGCTAAGCATGCATTGTCCCCCTGAGCCAGCACCTCTCTTAATGTTTTAAATTAGCTTTCTGCTAATGAATGCTTTGAAACAGTCTGAAATCAGAAATTTGTTGTTGGTATCAGCTTGGTTTCTTCCTGATGGGGCTTTGTGAGGAAGGGGATGGACTTCAGTCCCTCTGATCACATGTGAGGGACCAATTACTTTGAAGATCACAAATGAATAGCCAACACACATCCAAAATGGTATCTGCTTAGAAGAACAGTGGGATGGGGAGGAACTGTGTCTGTGGGTGAGCACGGAACTGTGCAAGGCTGGAGGAGCCAGTGGGTGGCAAGACAAATGAGGACTTGGTGTGTCAACAGTACAGCTGGTGGTGGGAAGGAAACAAAAAGTGTTAACTCTGGAAGTAATGAAAGTGAAGTAGGGCTTTGATGACATCTACAAAACCACAAAGAGTATGCATACGATGAACATGAATTGTTCACTGAAGCCCAAAATATGAGATCTAGGGAATGTAGTTTGAAATCTAAAACGTTGATTCTACCAACAAAGACTGGCTGTGCAGACACCACACAGGGGACAAGGAAGCACGGTCCAGCACAAGTGGTGCTCATTGCAGGGTCCTATGACAAAGTATGAGGGTTTATGAACAAGCCAAATTCACCAAAAGGCAATAGGAGACATTAGGTTCTAACAAAAAGGGACAGAAATATATACTATATTATTCTTTTCCTTTTTGGCTCTTGCTAGGTTCATAATGTTTCTTTCAGACTTTCCCATTAGTGTGAGTGTGAGGATCATATATTCTATTTGTAAAATATTCTTGAGTCACATCAAACCCAAGGCAGAACCTTAATATGTAAGTATCAGAAAGACATCGGTGGAATGAAAGCCACAGGAAGATAACAGTCTAACAGCAGGGGAAATGCGTTATGCTAATGTCTTCAAATGTATTAAAATTATTTTTGAAATGATAACATGATAAAACTTCAGATGTGTTAAATGAAAAAATATAGAATACAAAATAATATCTAGTATAAGACAAATGGTTATAACTATATATAAAGTATGCAAATGGGAACCAGAACTGGAAGAACAGCAAAGAACTAAAACATCTCTTTTATAGGTGGTATTATAAAGGTAAAATTTACATTCTGTGTATTATCACAGTGTTATTTGATTTAAAAATATATAGCCTGTAGTCCTAGTTCTTGGGAGGCAGATATGGGAGGATTCCTTCAGCATAGACGTTCAAGACTAGCCTAGGTAACATAGTGAGAGCCTGTCTCAAAAAACCAAACCAAACAAAAACAAAACAAAATTTTAGAAGTTAGAAAAAAATAAAGAGAACTCTTTCTTTTTTGGTGCTGGCCTCCTGCATACCAAGCCTGCGTTTTACCACAGAGTTACGCTCCCAGCCCAGAACTCATTACTATTCTTTTAAAAATTATTTTTAGTGGCATTGGGAATTGAACCCAAGACCTTGCATATGCTAGACAAGGAATCTACCACTGAGCTACATCATCAACATCTTTGTTTTTAGTTTCTTTTCTTTATTTCTTTTTCTTTTTTGGTACTGGGGATTAACCCAGGGGCGTTTTGCTGCTGAACTACATCCTTTTGGTTTTATATTTTGAGACATGGTCTCACTAAGATGCTTAGGACCTCACTAAATGGCTAAGGCTGACCTTGAAATTGTGGTCCTCCTGTTTCAACCTCCTGAGTCACTGGGATAGTTTTTCATTTATTTTGAGACAGAGTCTGGCTAACTTGCTGAGCTGGCCTTGAACTTGGGATCCTCTTGCCCCAACTGCCTAAGTATCTGGGATTAGAGGTTTGTGCTACAATGCCTGGCTCCAGACTCATTTTCAAAAGGCAGAATATGGAACAAATCTAATATGCATTCAATTAGCAGGGTGCAGTAATGCAGCCTGTAATCCCAGTGGCTCAGGAGGCTGAGGCAAGATGATTGCAAGTACCAGTCCAGCTTTGGCACCTTAGGGAGACTCTGTCTCAAAATAAAAGGGATCCTGTCTCAAAAATAAAACAAAAAAGGGATATAATTCAGTGGTTAAGTACCCCTGGGTTCAATCACCAGTATCCAAAAAAAAGACTCATTTAACTAAATGTAGAATTCCAATCTGAATTCTGTAGAATAGAGACTTCTAAGAATATTCATATATGGGGCTGAGGTTGTGGCTCAGTGGTAGAGCACTTGCCTAGCGCATGTGAGGCACTAGGTTCAATCCTCAGCACCACATAAAAGTAAATAATAAAAAAATACAGGTATTAAAAAAAAAAGAGGATTCATATGTCTCTCAGTTCTGTTTTTTTTTTTTTTTTCCTCCCCAGAATTCATACTTCTGGACTTACCCAGAGGTCATCCACACAGATTCCCCAGACTCTTAGGTCCCTGGACCATGGCAGTAACCCTCCCCTACTTGTACACCAACATTTCTTACCAGGGTCTACAAGTGCCAGACGTTTGTCCCGGGATAGGGAAGCTCTTTCCTCCTGGTTGAACATTCTATCAATCATCACCATTTCAGCAGAGGGATTGATCCGCTGAAAATGAGATAAGTCAGTCATATTAGAGGCCTTTTATGAAGTGCAAACAACTCCATCTTTGGAACAAATGAAACAATCAGAAATGAGAATTTTGTGTTTAGGTTCTGGTCATGCCCTGGTCACATAGGATGAATTTTTTTTAACACTGAATTTTTTTGTTACCAGCGATTGAACCTAGGGGCACTTAACCACTGAGCCACATCCCCAGCCCTTTTCTTAATTTTTAAATTTTGAGTCAGAGTCTCACTAGAGAGAGCCTCTCTAAATTGTTTAGAGCCTCACTAAGTTGCTGAGGCTGGTTTTGAACTTTCGATCCTCCTGCCTCAGCCACCCGAGCCACTGGGATTACAGGCATGTGCCACTGTGCCCAGCTAGAACTGATTTCTTTTTTTTTTTTTTTTTTAAGGAAAGGTAATTGACACACTGGTACAAAATTCAAAAGATGCTACAGGGCATATAAAAAATAATCCTTCCTTCTTTGTTTCCCCTGCATACCCACCACAACCAAGTACCTCTTCCTGGAAATATCAACTGCCCAGCAGTTTAAAATATTCTTCTAGGCTGGACATGGTGGTGCATGCCTGTAATCCCAGCAGCTTGGGAGGCTGAGACAGGAGAATCACAAGTTCAAAGCCAGCCTTAGCAATGGCAAGGTGCTAAGCAACTCAGTGAGGCCCTCTCTCTAAATAAATACAAAACAGGGCTGGGGATGTGGCTCAGTGGTTGAGTGCCCCTGAGTTCAATCCCTAGTACCAAAAAACAAAACAAACAAACAAAAAAACCCCCAAATTCCATAGAACACACTTAAAAATAAAAATATTCTTCCAGATATAGTTCAGGCACACACAGCATATATTTATTTTTGCACCAAATGATAGCAATGCTGTTCTGTACCTTTCTTTTCTTACTCTAACTTAATAATGTGTCTTAGAAATCTTCTCATTAGAATGACCTTTTACTTTATATTGTTATGCTTTGTGTTTTTATGAAGGCTTTCCTTTTTATTAAGGCTTTGGATATTCAAAATCAAATCTTAAACATATTTTGGCATAAATAAGATAATTAAACCAAATAAGTATTCCCTTTCTCACAAATTATAGAGCTGGTGGCATATACACACACACACACACACACACACACACACACACACATTTTTTTTAGTTGTCAATGGACTTTTATTTATTTATATGTGGCGCTGAAGATCGAACCCAGTGCTTCACACGTTACCTCACACTCTACCACTGAGCTACAACTCCAGCCCTAGAGCTACTCTTTTTGATGTGTCAAAGAGTTTTATTTCAGAAATGGTTGTCAATGAGAACAACTATTTCAGACATTGGTAGTACAATTTTTTTTGGCAGGTCTGGCTAGGTTGCCCAGGCTGGCCTTGAACTTGGGATACTCCTACCTCCGCCTCCCCAGTAGTGGGATTATAGGTTACCATGGCAGTAACCCTCCCTTACTTGTACACCAGTATTTCTTTCTTTTTTTTTTTTTTTAAATATTTATTTTTTAGTTATCGGCAGGCACAACATCTTTGTCTGTATGTGGTGCTGAGGATTGAACCTGGGCCACATGCATGCCAGGCGAGCGTGCTACTGCTTGAGCCACATCCCCAGCCCGTACACCAAAATTTCTTACCAAGTTCTACAAGTGCCAGACATTTGTCCCATTTGACCCTGGGCTCCTAAATGTCTTATTCCTTTCTCCAATTAACTGGTGCTTCATAACTAAATTTAAAAGTTTCCAAATTTGGGGTATGAAAATATTCTGGAATTAGATAGTGGTGAAGGTTGCACAACTTTGTGAATATACTGAAATCTATCAAGTATACACTTTAAATTAAAATATGAACTTTGTGGCATGTTACTGATCTCTTAAAAACAAAACCAGGGACGGGACTGTGTCTCAGTGGTAGAGCGCTTGCCTAGCATGCATGAGGCATTGGGTTTGATCCCTGCACCACATAAAAATAAACAAAATAAAGGTAGTAAAAAAAATTAAAACAAAACAAAACTAATTTTAACATCTTGTCATCAGCTAATCTTTCCAAATGTTATTCTGAACAATCGTCACTACAGGTGCCTCTAGTCCTCCTCCTATATCTCTGGATTGGTGAAAGGCAGTGGACAGCAGCAGTGTGGACAGCAGCAGAGTAGGGACTGCTCTGAAACAGTCCTGGTCTGTGCCTGAGCTCTGCTCATGACTGTTTTTTTTTTTTTGTACCAGGAATTGAACCCAGGATGCTTAACCTCTAAGCCACATCCCCAAGCCCCGCTTTTTAAAAAATATTTTAATTTGAGACAAGGTCTTGCTAAGCTTCTTAGGGCCTTGCTAAGTTGCCGAGGCTGGCTTTGAACTCATGATCATCCTGCCTCAGCCCCCAGAGTTGCTGGGATTACAGGCATATGCCACTGCGCCAAGCTTCTGTTCATGATTCTGCAAACTTACTATCTATGTGATCTTGGGGGAGTTACTTTACCAAAGCTGTATTTCTGGTAATTAAACAAATTAATTTTTAACTGATACATAAATAAAAATCATATGTTAATTGAAATCTATGTGATATCTTAATATATACATACATTGTGTGATCACATTAAATATTATCTCTTTAAACATTTATCTATTCTTTATGGTGAAAATACTAAAAAATCCTTTATTCTCGATTTTCTTCCCTCTTTTTGTGGCACTGGAGACTGAACCCAGGGGCACTAAACTTCACATCCCAGCCCTAATTATTTATTATTTAGAGACAGGTCTTGCTAAAATGCCTCAGTCTCCAAGGTAGCTGGGATCATAGGTGTATGCCACTGCACACTGCTCTTTTAGCTTTGTGAGATATATAGCATGTAATCACTCTTAGTCACCCTACTGTACAACAGCACACTAGAATTTCATACTCTTAATTGCAACTTAGAACCCATCTATCAACCTCTCCCCTGTCTTCTTCCCCACTATTCTCACTAGCTTCTGATATCTACCATTCTACTCTCAACTTAGCTCTGAGATCAACTTTTTTAGATTCCACATATGAGTGGGACCACGCAGTACTTGTTTTTCTGTGCATGACTTATTTCACTTAACATAATGTCTCCTTATTTGTTAAACAAGAAAATGGTACTGATCCACCATGTATAGTTCAGCAAATATTGGATGTTGTCATTTGTATTAATGGGTAAGTGTGAATTTTTCTACAATCTTAAATACCCGTGTTTTTTAAACTATGTTTTGAAAATGTAATTCCTTGAACATTTTCTCTCTGATTTAGTAGCTGTGACCTGTGGAGCTGTAAAAACAAATGTGCTTGGTAGCACAACTTTTACCATGGCGTCTTCTAGGAGCAGGCATCTGTATTTGTTAAGCATAGCTTGGGTCCTCTTTAGGAGCTGAGTGGCAACTGTTTCAAATTCATTGTCCACTTTAAAAAGAGAGAAAAAGAGAGAGAGAGAGAGAGAGAGAGAGGAAATGAGAGAGAGAGAGAGAGAGAAAGGAAATAGTAAGAGAGTGTAATTCAACCACTAGGTCTTTTTTTTTTTTTTTTTTTTTAATGGTACTGGGGATTTAATTCAGGGGCACTCTACCACTGAGCTGTACACCCAGAACTTTTTATTTATTTTTAATTTTTTGTTTTATTTTTAAATTTTGAGACAGGGTCTTGCAAGTTACCCCAGCTGGCCTTAAACTTGTGATCCTCCTGCCTCAGCCACCCAAGTGGGATTATAGGCATGTACCACTGCACCTGCCACCACTCAGTCTTTATTTCACTTATTTTTTGGGCAGTGCTGAAGATAGAACCTAGGGCCTCACACATACTAGGCAAATGCTCTACCACTGAACTACATCCCAGGCCCTAAGATTTTTATTTCTTAAGACCGAAATACACTGCTCTTCCATTATTCAAACAGTGCATGTCTGTGGCAGTCTTTCCTTAGATTAACTTTTCCTTGAAAAGCATCATGCTTCTGTACTGTTTTCCCTCACTGTCCATGTGGTCATGGAAACTCATGTTAATATAGCTTATTTCAACTTTAATTAGGAAACCAAAACAAAATACCTTTAAATATCACTTACAAATAAAACCACATAAGAGACCAGGAACAAATAGCAGTGAACAGACAATGATCTGCTAGTTTAGATGACCTAAACCTGCACTCCTTTCCAACAGTGGGTAAAACTAAAACAGTAGGAATGATGAAATCCAGCTGTCTGTGCTGGGCAGACCAGGTTAATACAAAGATACAATCTAGTCCATGACACCTTGCAGGTATGGTCTCTGTAGGTCTGTTCTTTTATCTTTCAGTCTCCAAAGGCTTTACATTTCCTAATTTACCCTTCTTCTCAGAGTCATTTCTGTTTAATGTTGGATCTTCATCCTATTCCCTAGATCTCCCAGGGAAGCACTCAGTGGACTGACAGAGGTCACTGTACTCTGCTATCAGAGATCCCACCAGGAAGAGCAAAACTTGTGGCAGTTGAGGAAGGAACTAGAGTGGTAGAGGACAAGTCAGGGCTTGGCAGTGGGGGTGGGAAGGAGGGATAGAACTAAGTCACAACTGGGAGAGGCAGCAGGGCCAGGCAACAAAATGGGCTGAGTTCTAGGGTGGGAGAATGGGCCCTGATCCTTAACATTTTTGTCAAGTTTCCTGAAGTTTGGCCAATGCTCTAGAGTCACTGTGGGACCTTAGGGAATGCTTCAGGTAGGGGTTAAAGTTGCTATTTAGTTAATAGAACTGGTGACACAACTAAGGGCAAGGACTAAGCTCAAGTGAGATTTAGTCCAAGGCCATGCCATGTGCAGTCAGCAGCCTAAACAATGCTTTTAATTCACTGCTCCCAAGTGTGTCAATAAAATACCATGGTATTTTGGGATCCCCTTCATAGATTATTGGGAAGAATAAGTCACAGCCCTACACATGGCCTGAGAAATTGAGTACAAAGGGAACAGGTAGGCCTGTGATGAAAAATAACAACTTATCTACCAGCTGGGGGTGATGTAGCTCTTGCTCTTCTGTGGGTAGCATGGGAGGGCACCTGGTGTCAGGGTGGCCCTCTAAGGGCTGCAGCCTGTTTACCTTTCCTCAGGTCTTCCTCGGTGGGCATGGAGCCCTGGCACACATGGTAGGAGAGCAGTCTCTGCACCGCATCACTCAGTGATCGGAACTGGCTTTTGTCAGGTGTCACAGCATGGGCTTGGTCCCTCTGTAACTGCTGGAGGATGCTTTAAGAGAGAAATGCCAGTGTTGATATCATGTCAGACATGTCTGAATATCAAATCTAATCATGGTGCTTATTTGCATGCAAAGAAAATAAGATACACAGGAATACTATTTTCATAGCTCAGCAGGTTTTTTCTTCAGTTTTATACTTTGTGTATCACTACTATGACTCTGACCTCAGAAGCAGTATCTCCACCATCCATTTGCATGTGGGCACTCACAGAGATTTTGGCCACATTGACTACTGACCAAATAAACTCATGCTTTTAAATGCAGAAACTTATCAAATTGTGCTTCTCCTCAGAGACTTCCTATCTCTAAAGAGACAAAGTACTTTTCTCCTTAAGAACAGAAAGCAAACAGTAAGTATGCTCAAGCTACAAATCAAAGTGCAGAAAAAGATTTTCAAAGTACTTTTTCAAAAGGCTAAGAAACTAATCATAATAACCTGACTTCTGTTAGGAACCTGGAGAAATGCTAAAATTTAATTTGTCATTTCCAAAGGTGACTCACAAAGCTCCTTTAGTTAGCTGTTTTGCAGCAGGCCTTTTTTGTCCTCCTGAATGACCGTCCACCTAGAGATAAAAAGCACCTCTTATTATTCCCTTTTGTAGAAAAAAGAAGCAGAATACAGATACACATAACGTTCACTGTTTCAAATATTTTTCTTTTCTTTTCTTTTCATATGGAACACTTCAAGAATTTGCATGTCATCCTTGCACAGGGGCCATGCTAATCTTCTCTGTATCGTTCCAATTTTAGTATATGTGCTGCCGAAGCGAGCACTCAAATATTTTTCAATTACCTATTAAGAGCATGTTGTAGTAGTATGGCCCAAGATGACCACTTTTTTTCTGTGTACAACATCATATAGGCTTTGCCTTTAATGATCTCTTACAGTTAGAAAACATAATAAAAACAAACTGCTCGGCTACTGGACAAATTGCACATACCAGATTACCAGATCATCGCTAGCAGATGTCAGTTGCATATTCAGTCCTTTATGAAATTCATAAACAAAGAGTTGTTTTTCCTTTGTGGTTTTAATAAGAGTTTAAGAATTGTTACGAGTCTTATAAATGTTATTTTAACAATCCTTTTAAATTTTATCTGTTGCTGTTGCCTCTGGAAACATGATTTGTTTAGAGTGCTAATCCCACTCATTCAGGAAGTGCCAAGAGGTGTTCTGTAGGAAGTGGTACCTCTTAGTGTAAATTTCCCTCTACCTTTGCTAATATCATGGCAGAACTTTTCTTATCCCAAGGCAGTTGTTGACTGAATTTTTCATCCTTAAAATCCTGGTATTTAACATTAAAAAAAAAAAAGAAGAAGAAGAAGAAGAAGAGCATATTGTAAGGCTCCAGAATGTGCCCTGCTACAATACAAAATAAACAAGTCCACAAACTCCATGTAGCAAAGCTGTACTCTGTTAGGAGTATAGAAAGAAAGCTGTACTGTCAGTTCCTTAGAAAGAACTCAGTTTGTACTTTTTTTTTTTTTTTTTTTTAAAGAAATGAGGTCTTGCTTTGTTGCCTAGTCAGACCTTGAACTTCTGGGTTCAAGTGATCCTCCTCCTCAGCCTTCCAAGTAGAGCTGGGACTACAGACACCTGCCATCCTGCTTGGCTCGGTATGTACTTTAAAGCCTAAACACTCAAATTTCTTCTACAAAAAGCATCTTTATATTTTGGAAGAAATGTATTTGGGTGCCAATATCATGAACACCTGAAAACTCAGTAGATACTACTTAATCCATTTTCTCAGTGGTAAACGAGGGAGCAAACACTTTGAAGCTCCTGTTACAAGAAGCTGAAGTATAATAGACATTTTTTACATCATTAAGGAAACAAAGACACCTTATGTGAGAACCTGAGAAATGAACAGATCCTTTACTGGGTATTCCACGGCAGACCTAGACTGCAGCAAGTTTTATCAAACTATTAATTGGTAAACTTCATGAAGATGGAATGAAGGCCATAGTAAAGCTGAAGACAAAAAACATTTTTTTATCCTTCTTTGGTTTGAAATGTTTTAGATTTAAAAGACTAAAGGGACTGCCTACTTCATACATGTCTGTTTATTACTACCAAAAAAACAATCTCTCAGCAGGGTGCAGTGGTGCATACCTATAATTCCAGTGATTTAGGAGACTGAGGCAGGAGGATTGTAAATTTGAGGCCAGGAAGAGTAACTCACTGAGACTCTGTCTCAAAATAAAAAATAAAAAGGGATGGAGAAAGAGCTTACATCCTTAATACTGCAAAAAAGAAAAAATAACCAACCAAACAAACAAAAAAACCCTCTCAGTACACTAAAAACAGATCTGCTTTGATTTGATGATGGGTATATATGTGTTTTCTTTTCTTTTTGTGCTACTAGGGATTAACACACATTTGGCATGTGCTCTACCCCTGAGCTACACCCAAAGTCCCCGCTGGTATTAATTGATGAGGAAATGATGGATTCATGAAGCATTGTGAACATGTCAGAAATACACTAGACACATTAATGTTAGAAACATAAATGTAACCAAGCATGGCCCACCAGGAAGGTCTTCAGTGACCACACTGTGTGACATATAGGGGCAGGCTGGCTGTGCACACAATGCAGGATAGTAACCACAAACCAGATGACACAACCATACTAATGTTCAGTTATGCAAATTATGAAGAAAGAGCTATGCAAATAGTTTTCTACCTGCACAGCTGGCTGGCCAGGAGATGATCCAACTGCTTTTTCCTGTTGTGGCTGTGCAGTTCCTAAAGATGCCGGCATAACTTTGTTTCCAGAATCCTGTCCTATTGGAATTAATACAGAAGATAATGTTCAACAGAAATGTTAAGTCAGGTCCTCTGTATAGTCCTACAGTCCAGCATATGCAGGTGATCACACATTCTGAAAGGGAGTCCTGTTTGTGTGTGTGTGTGTGTGTGTTATACTGGGGATTGAACTCAGAGGTGCTCTACCACTGAGCTATACCCCCAGCCCTTTTTATTTTTCAAATTTTGACACAGGGTCATGCTAAATTGCTGAGGCTGGCTCTGGACGTGAGCTCCCCTTGCCTCAGCCTCCTGAGTCACTGGGATTATAGGTGTGCACCACCACACCTGGCTGAAAGGAATTTCTTTATTGTGGATTCATGAAGGGAGTAGGGTGGAATATTTATTCACAACATTTAGAGGCAGAGATTAGGGTTGGTAAAGCCTATTTAAGTAATAAATCTAATTAATTAAACTAACGGTAATAAACAGGAGCTATAAACACTATTACTTCACATTATCTATGATCTGAGAAATAGGCCTTAAGTACTTCAGAACCCCAAAATAAAACTTAAGGAAAGGAGTCCCAAAGAAGGAACTGACTAGGAATGCTCAAACTTTCATTCCTTTTTTAGTATTAATTGAGTAGTTACAGGTGTTCAAAGCCTTAGAAAAAATGGCAGATATAACCCACAGTATTTTTACTTTGGGGAAGGGGGAGGATTCTAAATGTATATAAGCAACATGAGTATAATCACAAAGTCACATGTACCAAATAATACCAGATTTCGTTGTGGAATGGATATAGAAAAAAAGGAATAATCAGAGTGGAGGTGAGATTCATGCAGAACAAAGCAGGGGAGAGTGTCCCCTGGAGTTGGGAGGACAGGGACGGCCTGCAGAGAGCTTAAAAAGGCTCCTGACCTGGCAGTGCTGTGCTCAAGAGCCCAGGGATCTGTGTTTGTCTCAGGCCGTCTGCAGTCTTGGAAGTGGACATGGGGGAGGTCTGATTCAAACATTTTTTCTGAGCCTGTGAAACATAACCAAGATGGAAAAATTAATTTCATTATTAAAAGTTTTAATAGATTACTTAAGATGCCAAACAAGTCTCTTAATGCCTACCTGCCACCACTTTAAGATTATATAACAAAACATAACTAAAAACATTATTTTCTTATCACATTGGGAGAAGTTTGCAAAGTGCATCCTCTAAAATCTAAAGGCACACTGAATTTTCTCAACACCATTCAGAGAGAATGCTGAGTTGACACCAGACTATCTTTTATACCTGGGACTATTGTTTGTTTTGTTTGGAGGCAACAAGTTCATGGGAGATAAACTAGATGATATAAATAAATTTTTTTTTCCCCTGTACTGAGGATCAAACCCAGGGCCTTATGCATGCTAGGTAAGTGCTGTACCACTGAGCTGGATGGTATTTAAAAATTAATAAGTTCCTTTTAGTTCTTAAAAAAAAAAAGTATGTTTCTTTACAATGCATTTTTTTGAGGGTACTTGGGATTGGACACAGGGGACGCTTCCCCAGATCTTTTTATTTTTTTAATTTTTTTTTTTTTAGTTGTAGATGGGCACAATACTTTAATTATTTATTTATTTTTATGTGGTGTTGAACCCAGTGCTTCACAGATGTGAGGCAAGCACTCTGCCACTGAGACACAATCCCAGCCCTCTCCCAGATCTTTTTACTTTTTGAAAAAGGGTCTTACTAAGGGGCCAAGGCTGGTCTTTAACTTTTTTTTTTTTTTTTAAAGAGAGAGAGAGAGAGAGAGAGAGAGAGAGAGAGAGAGAGAGAGAGAGAGAGAATTTTTAATATTTATTTTTTAGTTCTCGGCGGACACAACATCTTTGTTGGTATGTGGTGCCGAGGATCGAACCCGGGCCGCACGCATGCCAGGCGAGCGCGCTACCGCTTGAGCCACATCCCCAGCAGGTCTTTAACTTTTGATCCTCCTGTCTCAACTGGGATTTCAGAAATGTGCTACCAAGCTCGGTTTACAATGCATTCTTAAATAAGAAGACAAAAGATTTTAAAAGTACCATCAAACTTCACTTAGCTGTGACACTACTACTTCATAGGACAGTTGGTTTTTCAGAGCTTTTCTTTGGTTTCATATTATAAATTCTATAAATTCTATCAGTGGATCTAGAGTTTAGTCTGACCACCCCCACAGGGGGCTTAAACTAATGATCTTGGCTCAAGCAAAATGTTTTCACTCTCCATTCACATGTGGGCGCTCACACAGAGCCACCCTGGCTGTGGTCTACTTGTGTTATCATTTCTGTTCAAACAATTAATTATTCATTTGGTTTTATTTTCTAATATAAAAATGGGAAAGATTCTGACATTACCCAAGCAAGACTAGAGGAGATCATTAAAGAGTCACAAATAACCACTTTTTTCATTCTTCCATTGACAAGGAAGGACAAATCTATACTACCCTAAGCAGATAATCAACAAATTCTTGGGAAGAAAACCACAAATGGAAAGGTCAATGTCAAAACCTTCCAGTTTCCACTGCATTTCCCCTAGAAGATCCCTCACCTTTTGCTACAGGGAATCTCTCCATCTGGAGGACACCCCTATTATAGAAGGCCTGGGGCAATCAGTAACCATATGCCCTTCCCACAAATATGTCCAGGTCACGAACACTGAGGATCACCTTGAAGAAACACCTAACCAGGTAAAAGGTAGAAAAATATAGTTTACCAGGGCAAGGCTGGTGGGATTCTGAAAAAAAAATGAGATCAAAAGACAAATAAATGAACCAGAATTAATATGCTCAAATGACCAAAAGTCTTTACAGTGTGTTGCCATTGCACAAAGATTAGGAATTTCTTTCAACAGCTGGTTCATATTGAATAGAAGAAAGCCGTCCTCATGACTTTAGAGCAAAGACCTCCTCCCTTCTTTTGTAATGGACATTAAGCCAAGGGGTATTATACCACTGAGCTACATCCTTAGTGGTTTTTTTTTTTTTTTTTTTTTTTTGAGAGAGGGTCTTATTAAGTTGCTAAGGCTGGCCTTGAACTTGCAATCCTCCTGCTTCCTAGTTGCTGAAATTATAGGTGTGCACCACACCATGCCTAGCTTACATTATTACATTATTTTTTGATAAAAATGGTATTAGGCAGCTTCATCTCTCACCTAATTTATCATATACGACCTGGAATGAATCCTGATTATCAAAACCAAATGAAACAAAACCCCTGCATGAACATGTAGTACAACTGCAAGAAAAGCAATCACAAGATCTCCACAAAAGCCAGGAGGACTGAGGCTGGAAAGAAAAAAATCCTTCCTTCCCCTTTCTTTTTCTTTCTTTTGTACTGGGATTAAACTCAGGGATGCTTTACCACTAAACTATATTCCCAGCCCTTTTTATTTTTTATTTTGAGACAGGGTCTCACTAAATTGCTGAGGCTGCCCGGGAGCTTGCTATCCTTTTTTCTCAAACTCTCGAGTTCCTAGAATTATAGGTGTGTACCACTGCGCCTGGCTGTATCCACTTTATTGAGCTGAGTGGTGCTTTCCAGGGGTATTTGCTCTATAATTATTTAACTATCTTTTATGCTTTTTTGTTTGATTGTTTTTGTGGTGCTGGGGATCAAACCCAAGGTCAGGCTGTGGGTAAGGCAAGCATTCTACCACTGTGCCACAGCCACATCCCCAACCTAATGCCTTTATGTTTTATGCATTTTTCTAAGTGTCTCCTATTTCAGAATACAAAACATTAAAAGAAAACAAAAGAATAATCTAGCATCAAAGCCTAATAATTTTCTGTCATTTGAGGAAATTTTAAACAGTAGTGTACAGCCTATTAAAATAGGATGAGTCTGGCGAGTTGGCACACGCCTATAATCCCATCGGCTCAGGAGCTAAAGGATTGCCAGCTGTAGCAGTGGCAAGACTCTAGTCAAGGGGCTGGGAATGTGCCTCAAGCGGTAGCGCGCTCGCCTGGCATGCGTGCGGCCCGGGTTCGATCCTCAGCACCACATACCAACAAAGATGTTGTGTCCGCCGAGAACTAAAAAATAAATATTAAAAAAAAAAAAAGACTCTAGTCAACTCAGTGAGACCCTGTCTCTAAATAAAATACAAAATAGGGCTGGGGATGTGACTCAGTGGTTGAGTGCCCAAGTTCAATCCCCAGTACAAAAAACAAAACAAAACAAAACAACAACAACAACAAAAAAAACAAGATGAGGGGCTGGGGTTGTGGCTCAGTGGAAGAGCACCCTCCTAGCATGTGTGAGGCCCTGGGTTCAATCCTCAGCACCATAAATAAATAAATAAGTTATTGTGTCCAACTACAACTAAAAAATAAATATTAACAACAACAACAACAAAAAACCAGGATGATTCCTCTGGGAGTATGTTTCGGGATAAGTGTTTTTAAAATCTCCTTGTCTGCTTGTGTGAGTATTGAACATCAATACTGGTGCATTTTCATCTTCTAACTACTGCCATGGCTGGACTATACCCCTTTCCTTGGGACTAGAATACTCATTCCAATTGTTACACTGTGAGGCAGAGGCTGCGGGTGGCACCGGTAGGGCTATGGTGGCAGTAATCATCATCTACTGGGGATCTTGGTCTGTCTCCTACATTGGAATCTCCTTGATGGACCAGGACAGTATGTTTAGAAAGCTCTGCTGTCAGGTCTATACTGCCTATAGAATTTCACTGGTGAACTGTTCACTCCCAGTCCTCTCCTGAAGGCAGGACTTGGGTCTGTCTTGTTCACTGCCATATCCCAGAGCAGGCTCTGGCACCATGGTAGGCACCCAGTAAAGGGCTGTTAAATAGAAATAAATGAATATCACTGAGGCATAAGTCACAGGGATCTGTGCCTCCTCCCAGCCCCAACCTCCCCAGAAGCCATCAATTTCTTCCCATTTCCCCAAATTTTAAGTTGCCCCAGCGAACTATCTTTTCCAGAAATAAAATTTGTCATCATCTTGATTTCATGAACTTTTAGAGAAAACTTGCTCTTCAAATACATTTCTTCCCCAGGAAGATTACATGTGATTACATGCCTGTAATCACAACTACTTGGGAGGCTGAGGCTACTGGCAAGTTTGAGGCCAGCCTCAGTAACTTAATGAGACTCTGTCTCAAAATAAAAAGTAAAAAGGGGATGTAACTCAGTGGGAATTGATCTGGTTTGTTCAATCCCTAGTACTTCAAAAAGAAAAAAGAAATTTTTTCCCCTTCACAAATATAAAAACTACTTAAGTGTATATATATATATATATATATATATATATATATATATTCCTCATTTTAGGATAATAAAGACATTTCTTTTTTTAATGTTTATTTTTTAGTTGTAGTTGGACACAATACCTTTATTTATTTTATTTATTTTTATGTGGTACTGAGAATCGAACCTAGGGTCTTGTACGTGCTAGGTGAATGCTCTACCTCTGAGCCACAACCCCAGCCCGATAAACCCTTTCTAAAGTAAAAAAAAAAATCATTCAGCTGAACCACTTTAAGTGGTGACGATCTGCATTTTGTTGAGGATGTGGCTCCAAGAGTTCTAGTAATATAAATGGACAATTTTAACTCTGTAGACCCATGATTTTAGCAACATGTGGATCTACAGAAATATCCCAATGTACTCAAATTATCAATTCTCTCCCTCCATCCTATACTTTAAAAAAAGCCAATTATATGCTAGCAAGATAATATTCATCAGACAACAAGCATTTCATTAATGAAGCAGGCCATCTAGAATTTACCTAGCAAATCTCTGGTATCTGCCCACTGCCATAAGAATTGGTTGGGGCCAGCAAGATTGGAAAATATCCAAGGACTTCAGGTTTCTGGTCTGACATTTAAGGAAGTTTCACAGGTCTTTATTCTAACAGCTAAACAAACTGAAAAGTCAACGATTCTCCCCAGAGGGCTGGGGATATAGCTCAGTTGGTAGAGTGCTGGCTTTGCATGTATAAGGATCTGGGTTCAATCCCCAGCACCAAAAAAAAAAAAAAAAAAAAAAAGAA